AGGTTAAGTGGCAAATTTTTATTTTGTTTCAATTGTCATTGCATTTTTTGGGTTACTTCTCTGCACATTCTGTGAAGTTTTAGATAATTTTCTAGTATTTTGTTGACCTGTTGAGACTTTTCGTCAAATAACGCAAGATTAAAAAAAAAGCTGTTAGCCAAATACTGGTGGTATTTAAAAATATTTAAAATTCAAAGCGATTTCAAGATATCTGTTGCTAAGGGCAAATACAGTTTCGTCAACCACATTGAGAAGCTGCATTGGTAAAATCGATGCTATGCAAGAAGAAGTCATCACTTATGCCACTTATGAGTCTTCTTCTATGCCCATCGGCCTTGTACAGCATGTCGCATTTCTCCACTTATACAACATATTTACATAATGTTTTGAAATCTGTTGGACCGCTGAAGTTGGGAACACCAGCCAAAACATTAAATCGTGGTCGAAAGCCCATGAAATCTACTGTTTTGACATCGCGCAACATGTGTAAAGCATGATGTCAAGCTCAAGAAATTAGACAACCAAAGAAACCGATTTGATTTAATAAAAAAAGACACTCGTCAAAGAGAAGAAAACGCCAGCTTGAAAGAGAAAAAGGCCATCAAAAAGAACACCATCGACACAATCGTCAATAAAAAGGGCAAAGCTGGATAAAGCAGAAGAGAGTAATGATCGGATTTTTGTGCTCTGTGCTTGGACATAAAGCCTCTTGCGTTCGGCCGCAGCAATTTACGAATAAATGATTCTTGCAGTGGAGAAGTCCATTGCAGTTGCGTTAAACCATGCGCCAGCTACGTCTCATATCTAAAATGATACTCCAAACAAAGCAACATTTTTTTCCGAAATTTAAAATCATCAATTTTTTCTCTTTTCGCCATTTTCCATTATTCGCTAGAGTTTTTTTTTTTACCGTTTTCGTAAAAAATGCCGAAAGCTAAACCGTTTTCGGCGACGGAAAAGAGAACTCCACGGGAATCAATTTTCGGGGAAAGGAAGTGCAGATCACGTCTGCTCATCAGCGAAATAACTAAAAAACGCGGACTTCGACCCCACTGGAGTGGGCGAAAACTACACTTTTGTTATTTGCAATTTTTTCCTAGTGTTCCATGCGTTGAATGAATTTTTAGTTTGCAAATCGTGTTCTAGTGCAGTGAAATTCGGACGCACATTTGAAAGTCGCCAAATTTATTCGTCGCCGATGTCGCAAAACATGACAAATGTGAATCAAACCGTCGAATTCTGTTAGCCTTTCGCATTCTCGGGTGCGGGCTGGAAAGTGTGAAGACGTTATGCTGTCTGCTGGACATCAAAAAATCTCATTCAGCGCGCATATGTACTACTACTCTTTCTACAATTTGTACGCCGCATCAAAGACGATCTTCGACATTATACAATTGAAGGCCGTGAAGGAAGAAATTGTAGCCAACACCGCAGCTGGGAACGAGCCGACGCACTTGACAATTTCCGGTGATGGTTCCTGAAAAAACGCGGAATTTTCCTCCTTGTCGGGTCTGGTCTCATTGATAAGTTTACAGTGAAAATTTTAGACGTTTTGTAAAATCATCGTACTGTCAATCCTGTCAAAATTGATCTATGAAAAAAGATACTCCAGAGTATTTCGAATGGCAGTAAAATCACGTCGATAATTGCACAGCGAACTGCACGGGAAGCGCCGTGGACAGCGTTCGCGAAATGTACGATGTCGGAAAATATTCTGGGTGTCAGATATCTACATATATCTATCTATATATATATATATATATATGTTAAAATATTGGTGATGGGGATACTAAAAGTTACAAGGCTATCGTTGAAATGAATCCATACGAAGACTACCCGGTGACCAAGAAAGAGTGCGTGAGTCATGTGCAGAAGCGCATGGGAATTGACTGGTAAATTGGCCGATAAGACGAAACGCAGATTCAGCATCTCGCCATCTGAGCCATTTATTTCCACAAGTGTTCGACTGACAAAAGACCGCAGCATCACTTGTGTCCGGAAGGAAGTGAGAGTTGGTGGAAGTGACAAGTTGTTAAGACGGAAAAGAAACTGATGACCTTCAAACGCAATTCTTTGCTAGCGGAGAATGTAGCCGATGCCATCAAGCCCATACACGAGGCTCTCTCCTAAACGGGCCTGCTGGTACGCTACGGTTGAGCGAACACGTAAAACTCCAATGATTCATTTAAGGCGACAGAATGAAAAATGGCGCTAAAGCTCCTGCATTGCGGACATCAAGTAATCGTCATCTGTACATGCATTGCTGGTTCTCAACGAGGGAAGACCTGCTTTGCTAACGATCATGAATGCCATGGAAATAACTATTGGCAACGAGGCACGACGATATGCCCAGGAAGCCAACGCCAAAAGAAGAATGGAAGCTAAACGAAAAATATCGAATGCTCCTCGAAACGGCCGTCTTGCTCATCGTCTACTGGAAACAGCACAATAGAAGAAATTTGAAGTAGAGGAAGGAACCCTGTATGACCGTTAATAAACTCGTGTTTATCAACCGTTATAACAAATTATAGACATTTTGGTCAAAATTTGGAAAAAGATAATGTTATTTTATTCGCTATTTTGGATTCGCTATCTTGAATTTTGACTATTCGACTTCAGATTCATATTCAGCAACCCTGAAAACCTATGGGATCAAATACTGAACGTGAAAACTGTTCGAATAAAGAAGTTATTTCAAGGCAAACCATGTTTTCAGATCTAACTTCAAGCCCCAGGCTTGATCTATCCGTCCGATTTCTTTTATCTAAAAGCTGTTTCAAAGTATAACATTTTGTGCCTAAATTCAGCGTTATTAAATATTTTATTATATTTTTTTTTACGTAATTGAGTTTCGATTTTTTGTTGCCCCTTTAAAGTCTCAAATAATAAACAAATTTAATAATCAAAACCGAAAAATCGTAGACCTTTTCAATCGCCCACAAAAAAATACAAAATGCCTGATTTTTGCCCAATATCACGGGAGAGTCCCCTAAGAAGTAAAGCCGCTTTAGGATTTTAGAAAACCTAATTTTTTTGCTCACAGTGTCCTAGAAAGGATATGCAATTGGTTTTAAAGTGAAAAAAATATTTCAAATAGCTGAACTTTTTATTTTGCTGCAGCCCCTCAGAGCGTGCGCTGAGTGTAATGAAAATTTTAAAAGCGTTTTTCTCAAAATCACACTTTTCAAACTGGACAGAAACACATTTTCTTTGGAAGTAGGTAGCCGTTATTCGATTAAATGTGAATTTTTTGCTTTTAATATTTTAGTGCGTATTTTTTAGTCAAAAATCATTCTTTTAAAAAAAGTGAGCCGCTTTCACAAAAATTAGTTAAAAAATAAATCCGCACATACTTCCATAGACCATGGCTGGTACATCATAAAACTTATTGGTTTTTTGTTCTAGGTCTCATCATTAAGAAGAAATCGTTCATCCCGTGTATGCTTTTCAAAAATAAATATAAGGTGTACAACTTTGCTTCCGCCGTTTCCCGATAGGTGGCTGTACCGGCTGAGGCTGGTTGAAATACATAGATGATAATGTCTTTAAAGTGAGTGTGGATAGTGCCTAACGAATTGTCATCGCCGTTTCAGTGACAGTTGTTCTTGTTTTCGTATTATTCACGCTCGAAAATGTCCGTTTATGTGCCTCATTCTCGCCATTTGCGGGAAATTTTACTCAACGTTTTAAAAATGTGGTAAAAGTGGTCAAAAAGTACCTGGAAACGCTGAAATGGGAAGTCTTGTTCCACCCGCCGTATTCCTTAGATGTCGCCTCTTCAGACTTCCACCTATTCCGTTCGATGGCACTCGGCCTGGCAGATCAACATTTTCAATCCTTCGAAGAATTGGAAAAATGGATTACTTCTTACTTTTACTAGCGTCAAAAGAGGACTCCTTTTTTCGAGCCGAAATCCGAAAATTGCCGGGAAGATGGGAGAAAGGACAATACTTTGAATAATATATCTGTAAGCACTTTTTCCCAATAAAGCTTTTAATTTTGGAAAAAAAACGGCGGAAGCAAAGTTGTACACCTAATATAATTAAATAATGGACTTTATCACCACCATTTTGTAACAAAATAATAATTAAAGAATATTTTCTTTATGCTTCAATATATGTTCAATGAAATGGTTAAATATAAATTCTAATCCTTTTTCAATATTCCCACAATAAATTTTAAAAAATTAGTCCATTTTTCAACCTCAAGTGTGGCTTTACCGCTCAACTAGAATTTTGACAGTCGCTTTTGACAGAAATATGCTCAATTCATGCCAGCAAGTGCCTCTTTTTTAATTTTGAAAATTTTTGGTTTTTGAGAGAGGGACATGCAAAATTCAAAATGTTCGCCAAATCACCTTTTACGACCATTGCCCTCCACACCGTATTGATGTAATTCAAATTATTAATAAAAAAATAGAACCACCCTAATATGCTGGGTAATCTAATTTATATACCTACACTGCACACTTAGTAAGTTTATAGAAATATTCAATGAGGAAGCATTCAAAGAAAATACAACGAATGCATTTCAAATGTATTCCGAAGAATTCTCACACATGGAAATCACTGATCAATCTAAAATGAGGATTTTGCGCGATACCACTCACGCTCACTTATTGTTTTAATTACTACAGAGCGAGTCGAAATCGATTGCGAAATAGCCCAAAGAGGCTGCGGTGTGAGCAGCTCGAAAGAAAAGCTTGATTCTTAAGTCATCTCTGAGCTCAGCCCGTAAGCTACTAATGCAAATGCATATACGCATACTAACATAAAACAGATGTACATATATGAATATACATGCATATATATTTTTTGTTGTTATTTATTTAGAATGTAATTGATAGGAAACGTTGATAGCGTACATAGCTATGCGCAATCGGCGATTACATACATACAAACAAATGTGTATGTATAAAAATGTGTACGACATACATACATACAAGCATAAATACTTTGGAGGAGTGCTGCGACAGCAGGGTGACTTGATTACTGATCGTAAACAAAGCAAGGCCGCAAAGTCGGCTAGCGCGCTGCTCGTACAGTTCAGTGTGGCAAGAGAAGCTAAAAGGTTGTAATGAACGGACGGAAACCGGCCTTACGAAACTACTCTATTATTGTTTTGTGCGTATTTATGGAATTTCATTTTGAGTTCATCAGCTTAGCAAGTGTATAACCTAATTGCGATGCGCGTCAGTCTGAGTGCTCTGCTGTTGCTACACCTGCTGCTGCTGCTGCTGCAGTTGTTCAGCAGTGCCAGCGCAGCGCGCAGTATGAATCGACAGCAACTGAAGACAATCGAACGTTATATGGATCCGAGCGCGGATCCGTGCGATGACTATTACCAGTATGCGTGCGGTAACTGGCAGTATGTACACGCGGACGCGGAATATTATGAAACGATCGGTCTCATTGACTATAAAGTCGATCAGGAGTATGCGCATTTGCTGAACAGTATACGCCGGCGACGCCGTCTACGCGAAGAACCTACCTTTGTGCGAAAGTTATTGGACTACTACAAGTCGTGTTTGACAGTTTACGCGTATACGCCGCAACTATACCTCGATTGGCTGCAGGATCATGAGCAATTGGTGTGGCCTACGGTTTTGCCAAGCAAAAGTACTACACGGCGCACTTCTAAGCGACGCGCCAAAGCTGTACGCTACGATTGGCTGCAAATGTTGGCCGTGTTGCGCAAGTATGGACTGAACTCCGTGTTCATTGAGGAGACAGTCATACAGCGTCGAGACTATGCGCGTGCTTCGGCTATTGATTTAGACAAGCCGGTTTTGAATGGCGGATTTCAGCCAATTCTCCATAAGGGATTCCTGTTGATTATGGAATATTTGGGAGTGACAGATGAGCAAGGTAAAGCCAGCCTCTGGGACGAAGTGCATGAATTCGAAACGAAATTGAAGAGCTTAGATTTCGTGGAGGACACCACTGAAGAAGCTGAGGAAAGCGCCTCGGCTCAGCGTGAAACAACCTTGGCTGAATTGAATATGCCTTTTCTAACGCGCTACTTAGACATGTTACTAGGTCAGCCGGTGGATCCTTATATGAAATTGACCATACAAAATCTACCATATATGCGTTTGCTGCTCACCGTTCTCGACGAGCACGAACCGGAATTCATCTGTCGCTACTTGATGATACGCTTTCTGTGGTATCTAAACGTTGATGGACCTCGCAACTTTCTCCAAGGCGATTGTGTCTCACACACGCGCAGTATGATGCCGCTTGCCATGACTTGGTTATACGAACGACACAATCCCGAACTTATCGACGAAAAATCACACATTGAAAGTCTCTTTCAGAAATTACTACAACATTTCACCGAAACACTACACAACAATGCCAATGAGTTCGACTCGCATATACTACGTTTCTTGCAGGACAAAATCGATACGATGCGCATTAAAGTCGGCAATTTGCCACGGCCCGCCACAAGTCGACAGGTGGAGGCATTCTACGCCAATTTAACAATAGAGCCAAGAAAATTTTACGCAAATCATTTGAGCCTACTACATCATTTCACACAAGCCAAGCATAAGCGTCTCAACGAACTGCTCGCTCAAGACGACTCATTCTTCCATCTGGAAGATCCCGAAACCGGCGCTAGCTCCTCACCATACTATCTTTTACGCTCGAATGTGGTAATTGTACCACTAACATTACTACACACGCCCATATATCATCCGCAAATGCATGAGGTCTTCAAATACAGCTCGCTCGGCTTCCTACTGTCACACGAAATCACACACGGTTTCGATGATAGCGGTGTCGAGTTCGATAAGCGCGGCAATATGCGCGGTCCCTCCGATCGTATAAAATCGAATCGTATATTTGATTCAAATTTAAATTGTCTACGTTCACGCAATCCACAAATTGTCGATGAGAAAATAGCCGATGTTAGTGGTCTGCGCTGGGCATACGAGGCTTATTTCAAGGGCAATGGTAGCAGCTCACAGGCTAATGGCCGACCACTGCATTTCACCACTCTCTCGCCGGAGCATGTATTCTTCTTGAACTTCGCGCAATTCTTCTGCGGTTCACCGGTTACCAGCACACGTGACTTGGAGTTCAGTGAGCATGGCTCCGATAAGGAACGTGTTTTGGATGCGCTGGCGAATTTCGCAGAATTCGGTCGAGTGTACGATTGTAAGGTGGGCAGCCGCATGCATCCGCAACGAAAATGTCAACTGTGGAGATAGCAAGCGAATGCAGAAGGATGAGCGAATATTATTAAAATGTATTAACCGTCGATTTGTGTTTGTGCTAATGTGTTATTATAAGTAATCAGAAACTTAATTATTAAGCTGTATATAAAAACAAAGTGTTGTAAATAAATAAACATTATGCATATATAATTTTAATATAAGTTCAGTGATTATTCGTGTCAAAAAAATATTTAATTCAATATAAAATGTTTTAATTTGCTGTCATTGCAATACTCAGACTCTCAGACTAAACTTGTACGTGCCTGTATGTGTATATACAACGAAAATATGAAAAAGCAAAAATAATGGGTTATAAATAAATTAAAGTAAAATAATTTGTTAATCAAATAATATGATCACACAGCTCTTATCACTTTCTACGTATCTCGCTTCTACTGTAAGCGTAGTGAGGTTTTGAAACAGTTTCCTGGTATGTAGTACATTAGCCTGGGTTGATTTTTAAGGGAAAGATTCAAATTCTCTTACCATAATATAGATGTTTTGTGCGGCTCTGAGCGCTGTTTTTTCGAGTGACTGTTAAAATTTAACTTCGCCTTATGCGCGTTTTCGTTTTCTCAATAACAGAATGCGGCTGTTAAATTTAACAGGCGGCCAAAGTGCTGGTTAACAGTTTATTTTTTCGACAGCGAGAACAAACAGAAAACAGCTGATTAACAAATTTACTTAATTTCTTATGTCATGATATATAAATATGTAAGGTCTATAACTGTTGAACGCAATATCCAAACTAATCATGCATAGCGTTGTTTTATAGGTTATATCAAGACCTTTCAAATTATGTATAGTGTTGCAAGATACGAGCTCTGTAGCGCTTTGTACATAGCCGCGAAATTTAAAAGACAAAAAAGCGGAAGGGAGATATTTGACAACCTTATATAATGGAAAATGGATATTTTTTAATCATAAGCTTGAGAAAAGGTTTGAAAAAGCCTCTGTGCGCCATATTGCTGAGCGGAATTTAGGAGAATTTATTTTATTTGTGTTAAGAACCGCTGATTAACGTTATTCCTTTCTTCCGTTTCGCAGCACTGCCACATTATATCTTATATAAAATAAATATTTAACAGGCACTCGTTAAAATGACCCAAAGTTCAATAATTTAACTGCACTAAATTGTATATTTTTTAAATTAAAAACAAAAAATATTTTAACAAAAATCTTCAAATGTGTAAATAACTTAACGAAAATAAATTTTCAGTTCTTAAAAGTTTGGAACTTTTCATAAATTTAAACCGAATTTCAACATTTCCTTTCATCACAAAATTCATCATTTAATTATTTTAGTTTATACTGAATTTCGAAAAAAATTTTTTTTTTTCAATAAATAAAGTCGGTAAAGCATTTCAAGTTTGGCAACATGCTAAGTATAGCATATACAGTCCACCCTAATGCACGTCTAATTCTAGAGATTATATAGAACTTCTCAGCCTTGATGACCTCCAGCTCTACTTTGAATTCCTCCTCTTTTTTAGTTTGCATGAATTTTTACTATTTAGTTAAAAAGTCGCTTGAAAATGCTTTTAATTAATTTATATGAAACAATTTATAATTATATGGTTATATAGTTATCTTTTTAAATAATATACAGTGATAAACTAAAGTAATGGCACAGCAAGATAGTTGAACTTCAACACATTTTTTTGACCACTTAATGAAAGATTTTTAATTCCGAAAATATCCGCTAGACAGAGGAACAAATTTTCAACTATTTTCACTTCAGTTCATTTTATTAATTAATATGAATTATAAATGTAAATCAAGTACTAATTTTCTATAAAAAAAGTATTTCGCACGCTTCATAAAAACGCAAAAAAAAATATAATAAAAAGTTAAAATATAAAGAAATTAATATTTTGTAGCCAAGTCTTTTTATTTCATGACAGCTTTTCTCGGAAATAAATATCTGCTCATAATGAGAAGAGGGTGGTCAAGTTGAACTATTATGCTGTGGCAATACTTTAGTACATCACTGTAGTTTAAAAAACACTTATATACGAGTATACTTCAAAGAATGCTTGAATAATTTTACATTTGTAAGAACACGAGCATGTGCAATTTCGATAAGCATAGAAAAGTAAAAAAATTGCAATGAATCAATTCTGCGAACAATGAATTGCATTCAAAATGCTGGAATAGAAAAAATATTAAAAATCAGCTAATAATGTCCCAGCAGTAAATTAAGTTTACTCAAGACTGCGCTTTAATCCAAAGCTTACTTTCAATCATCTCAATATTTTATTTATTTAGATCTTTCACAAGAAGCACGTGCACTTTTTCTAATTTAATTCGGCCTAAATCATAGTCATGAGTTAGATTGTATTATATAAATTGGGAATTTGTAACAGCTGAAGCGATTTTCGGCCGAGCTCCTCCTACAATTTGTGGCTTTTCGTCTTGATATTTTTTCAACAAATGGAGGGATCTACAGTTAATAATAAGCCGAGGAGCCTTTATTTCATGTCCGAAATACCTGCCGAGGGGCGACCGCATTTAGAAAATTTAACTTAATTTCTTTTATTTTTTTTATTTAAACTAGTTTTCCATAACTTTTGGATGTTGGCGGCACCAGGATATGAAGCCGAACCTTTTGAATGTCAGTACGCAATGCTAACTACGCGCCGTATTAACTGTTCGAATTTGAACATTTTGAACTCATACTTTCGACCTCGAATAATTTAATGTTAGTATTTATGAATTTTAAAAATTATTAGTTATTAGAGAACGCATAACCAATCAATTTACATTATAAAACATTTATTCAATTTATTTTCATTTCATATTAATCCAAAAATTATTTATAGCAGGATGGGATCTGCACGCACACATCTTCTATATGTTGGCGAGCCTGCAAAGTCGCTTTATGTACCAGATCTTGCAGATTTTCAATTGTTCTCTTGGCTTCCCTAACAAGGCGTTGTTGTTGTAAGGATGTAGAGATATGATTATGAGATTCTGGTATGTGGACTCGGCCTTTTTTTCTTTATTGGCGGGATCAGAATTTGGTTTTTCATTATCCTTATGATGTTTATTTTTTGTTTGAGGACTTTCTCACTTGTTCGCCAGTACCGTGTTTCATTCATGGATATTTTGGATTTACCTTCAGACTTTTTCATGACAATCGTCCAGGTGTCTGGTATGCGAATCCGCAGGATTTGACAGCTATCTAAGGAATCGCAGGAGCCTGTTAAGTGTGAGACTGTCAGGCAATTTACACAATATTTATACACCTACGCAGAATCGTATAGCTCGTCTGGAGTAAGTATCAAGAATGTGCGACGCATTGAGTGTATACGGCAGCACAGGCGACACTTTCTGAATTTCTGTGGTCTGAAAAGACACGTTCTGGGAGGACACATCGTAAATGTGGAAAAACTGAAAGTTGAAAGCGAGTGATTTCGATTGCTGTGGTAGATCATGAGAGGGGCTAAAGTAAGATAAGTATGTGGCAATAAACTGGTGACCATTCCGCCTTGGATGCGGATTTCTACCATGCGAAGATTTTGATCTTGACCGGTATAGAGCTTCGTAATACGAACCAGACGCCATTTCTTCGCTGGTAAGGAGTCGTCTTTGATAAAGACGATATTGCAAATATGAATATTAATATTTAATCCTAAAATAATATACCATAAATTTGAAGGTATAGAGACTTCGACCGGGTCTTCTCTTTTGTTTTTCGAATAAAAAAAATCGAAAAAAACTGAGAACCTCTGTTACTAGTATTTCTATTAAATTAATAATAAATCATTGCAGCGTTTTCCAAGCGGAACTCTTCGCAATCATGGAGGCCGCGGAGTGGTTGCACAAATCTACGACAGCAGGAGAATCAGTAACAATCTACCCCTATAATCAGGCTGCTATCAGATCTCAGGCTGTAGAAACACACAAACTCTCAACGAAGTACAGTACTACCGTGGTCTGGGTACCTGGTCACAGGGACATCCCAGACAAATGCATGGCAGACGAACTCGCAAGAGAAGGAACCCCTCTATTTACGATAAAAAACGCACATGATGCTAGTTTACCTCTTTCCACGGCTAAGTACATGCTTAAAGTGGCACTCACCAGGGAAGCTGATGCACGATGGTGGCCAGACAGCTATGGCCGAAGTTGGACGCGAAGAAACCTAAACATATTATCCTTCTGGACCAGTCCTCCATTATAGCCATGGGAAAATAAATGGGGCTTTACGGGATTAGGACGGGCTTTTACTCTAACGAAATCTGCCGCGGCTATAGGGACAAAGAAGAGAAGGAGACCATCGAGTAATACCTATGCCACTCTTCAGCTTTGAGAATGTGAAGGCAGGAGCCTCAGCGGCATCACAATAGGCCTATTGGCTTAAGTGTGCTGGGGTTTTTGATCACCAGGCGCATCAACTCAACTCAACTCAAAAATTATACTTACCAGTGTTTTGTTACAAATAAAAGAAAAACTTTAATTTTATTAAAAAACCTTTGTAGGTTAAATAGACTTCCCAAACTAGCGGTGAGATTTGTTATTATATGTATTTATTTTAACGATATTCTGTTGTCGTAAACTACTCGACAAATCGTTAACTAAGCGTCGAATATTGGCGCCATCGACAAAGTGTTGATATTTTATTAAGTTTAAAGTAGAACAACGAGCATCGGAAAATATCCGAAACTATATAAAATAAAAATAAAATAATAAAAGCTGTATTTAGCATACGAAGTTTGGTTCGGGGAGTGGAAGATCCCACTTGAATACAACTGAGCATCGGAGTCTATTTGAAGAAATCGTTTCTCTCCCTAACTAAAAGGTAAAATAATAACGGCATAGAAACAGTTAATATTACAACATTTAATTATTTTGGATTTTTAACATTACTAAAATGGGTTAAAGGTTCTAACCGCCTTGAGTTTCCTCGCAACTGGATGCTATGAGAGCAATGTTAAATATCTTTGCATCGGTCTAGCGTATACCGTTGTATCTATCTCATTGATCAAAAGGAAATTCTTGATTCATCATCGGCACCATTTATTGAGGCACTAATGACGCCTTAGACTATACTCATGTGACAGTTATGAGTACAGGAAATCATGAAGAAGCCTATGTCAACCGCCATGGATACAATTCCATCAATCTGCAAATGGTAAGAATTATTTTTCATTCAATTGTTATTGTAATTGTAATAAAGTTCGTTATATTTATACATATATACATATGTGAATCTTATCTCAATATTTTGGCGGTAAATGCCAAGTACTCAGCAGCGCGGCACCATTTTTATTGGGAGCTCCATTAGAGTACAAGTCATCCAGTGCAGTTGGAAAGTGAAAACCCTAAGATATTTTTGATTTGGTAAACTTTGTAATCCATTCTTCTTCTTCTTCTTTATCGGCGTTGGCATCGCTACGCGATTATAGCCGAATCAATGTTAGCGCGCCATTCCTCTCTTCTTTTCGCTGTGTGGCGTCAGTTGGAAACACCAGGTGAAGCCACGTCAATCTCCACCTGATCCTTCTAACGGAACAGAGGTTGACCTTTTCCTCTGCTTCAACAAGCGGGTACTTCATCGAATACTTTCAAAGACTTTCTCTTCATTCACTGAACTATGCGAATATCATCGTATAGCTCATAAAGGTCTGCGGTGTTCGCCGTTGCCAATGAGCAAAGGAAGGATAAATCGTTCTCAAAACTTTCCTCTCGAAGACTCCTAGAGCCGATTCATCAGACGTTAACATCGTCCACCTTTCTGCGTCATATAGTAGGACGGGTATGATGAGCGACTTGTAGAGTTTTGTTTTCTTTCGCGAAGAGGAAACTTTACTTTTTAATTGCCTACTCAGTCCAAACTAGTACCTGATGCGAATAGGGATTCTGCGTTGGATCTAAAAGTTGACGATATTGCTGGTGTTAATGCTAGTTCCTAAATAGACGAAATTATTTAAGACCACGAAGTTATGACTGTTAAAAGTGACTTGGGTGCCGAGTCGCGAATGCGATGGCTTTTTTTTTTTGAAGACAGAGATGTTTAGTCTTGCCCTCAATCACTACCAGATCCATTCGTCTCACAAGTCTGGAGAAAGTACAACTCACGGCGCGGCTGTTGAAGCCAATAATATCATCGGAGTGCGCCAGCAGCTGTACACTATTATAGAAGTTTGTACCTTCTCTTTTCAACTCTACAGCTCGTTTTACTTTCTCCAGCTGTAAGTTAAAAAACCTCATCTAAAACCTCGTTTGGTATTGTGATCCATTGCAACTCATTTAAAAAGAACAATTGTTATCAGGAATTTGTTTTATTTCCTTCATTCCTCCTTGACGTGGTTTTAAACCGAGGTGCCACTTTTCCTACATTTTAATGAAGAGGGAATTTCAGTTGTCGATGATCGTTAAAAAGCGACAAAAACGCAAACAAATCGTGTCGGCAAAAATTACTGATTTGCACTACAGATGGAAAAAGGGTGATATGATGTTTCTCCACATTAACATCAGACCTCACACTATTTCGTTAACTCATCTGTGCGCTGATATAGCACCTGATCATCTGATTACTAACTATTTTGCTACCATTAAACGCGTTTCCATAGAAAAGGTTCTATTAACAGTCCTATTCTGTCGAGGTAAAAAAAATTTACTTTGATTTTAAAATTTACCATTCAGTTAATTTTGTTACTATTTCGTACTCTGAGCTCACTGTCAGCATGTAAATTTTGTTACCAGCGAAATAGGAGGTAACAAACATATCTGCTTTTTGATTTTGTGTTGTAAATTTGAGAAAAAATAAAAAACCGAAATGGGTAGGCATATTTTAGGCCTGGAATTCATTGAAGATAAAGAAAAAAGTGCAAGAAGTTGTATTTTAAGAAGTTTTCGAGACTAAAAAATAGCCCTTTAATTTGTAAGATAGCGTTTTCATTCAGCTTTTTTTGTTATCCAGGAATATTTTCCATAATTGGATTCAAATATTTATGATTTAGTAAACAAATTAATAAAACTGCACTGTCTTCCATTTCGATGTGAATATTTTTCTTTTTACTTTATCAACAGGCAAATGTAATTTGACATGAACGAAAAAAACAGTGCTGCCAAAGTTTTTTCAAATATTGTAACCAGTTCGCCAGAATACCAAATTCAATTTCGGGTTTTAAAAAAGTAACAAAATTTACTTTGCTGGCAACGGTGAGAATGGGCCTGTAAAAATTAGTTGACCTGTTTTTCGCTTCCATAAAACAAACGCTTCTTCCACTCTTGTTAAGCGGGGTGCACGTGATTCATATTTAGAAGAAAACAAGCTCATAAATAATTACTATAGATAGTTGTTTACATCAATTCGAAATTTTATTTCGCAGTTCATTTACAATAGTGAGTTTATTTTGTATTTAAATCTAAAACAACTTAAATTTATTCGTATTAATTTCGTTACAGTTAAAATCTCATGCCATATCCCGCCAGCGCTATGAAATATTTTATAAAACGTCTATAAATTGTATGCCACAATTTCAGCACAACTTGAATGCATTTCTTATTATATGCCTTAACTTCAATTTCCTTTTATGCGTACGTCCTAAATATGTGTATATGTAAGTATATACAATAGTTAAATATTACATAAGTATAGCTACTTGATTTAATATAGTTTAAATCATTTTAATTTTTAATGGTTCATAGTTTTTTTTAGCATTTACAATTACAGCCGTCACTTAAACAAAACAAAATAATTTACAAATTTGAATGTTAAATCTTATTTGGTATTTTTATTCTTCTTCTTCTTCTAAGCACACACCTACATAAATGTACATATCTATATGTAATATATATATAGAAAATATGACGTTTTTCTTATTTCAAAGCAAATATTCTGAACTACGTGCATAGGCACGTACATATGCATGTATGTATGTAAGTACACAGTGCTAATCATTTAAATCGGTAAACGTAGGGGCTCAGCAGGTTTACAAATTTAAATGAGTATTTGCGCCGTTTCGCAAAAAACATTGACTTATTTGTTGTATTTTTTTATTTTTATTTTCCTTAAAAATTCTAGTATTTCGTTCATATAATTAAAATTTATTAATTTAGAGTTTTTTTCTTAATATATTACGCCTACTGCAGCGCTATTTACGAACTAAATTAGTTAGCACTCATGGGAACACTTATTCGTAAATCACTAAAAGTGTTTTAAATTCACATTAAATACCACAATATCTCAAGTAAGCCATTTAATTGTTTACAATACATTTATATAAACGCTTTATTTAATCGTAATTAAGCTGCAAAGCTTAACTAAAGTTAAATACACATGTTCCCAGCAGCAAATAGTAAGGCCTTGGAAGCGAAGAGGTAAAGTGGAAATTGTGTCTTCGGCGCCTGAGTTCAACTCGATGCCATGGCGAATGTAAGGTCTCCTAATTTCCTTTCAAAATACCCACTCGAGTAGGGGAACTGTTCATGTAACCTTACTACAAAGTAGTTATTTCAGTTACCTACTCATTTAAAATTCTATAACTTGAGTGAGAACTTTCTTAGTGGATAGTAGGACAGTATAAATAGAACAGTTTTGAATATATTTGTATCAATTTTAAATCAATGGGAAGTGAAAAAATATGCAGTAATCGAAGCAAATGAGTGATGTAGTTTAGAGAAAAATTGTCGCACTATCGCAGCAGAAATTGACCGTACATCAAATTGCTGTTGAAATAGAATTCAGCGATTCATCTGTTGTCGTTTTTTAAAGAAAGTTTCAGAAACGGGTTCAACGCAGCGAAAAACGCCTCTGGACGACGAAAAGAGATAACGGCTACTGAAGACCGGGTGGATATGCGGATGGGTATCGAAATTGATGCATTTTCAGAGCTAGACTTGTAGGAAGGTATCTCTCAAAAAACCCGTTTCTTAAGTAAAACCGCTACCGGGTACTGGGCAGGTCTGTCGAGTGCTGGAAGAATATGACATTTCTAGTTCAAGCAAAGTTAATTCTCTTTGGATTATAATGGTATTTGATGAAAAGTACAAAAATGAAGGCCCATTGCCTGCAGTAAGACATATGTACCTATGACGGAACGAAAGAATTTACTCTTATTGATGGTCGGCTAAACGGAGATGCCTACATTTCAATTTTAAATGGACATTCACCACCAGCCAACGAAGAGCAGTGCCGACTTTCCAGGTTATTAGAGAAAGTGGAAGACCTCTACACCGTTGGAAAGACCAAATAGAGAGCGCTTGGTATTTCTAACTGGCGACAAACAGCGAAAAGAAGGAACGAATGGCGTGCTATTATTGATTCGGCTATAATCGCGTGCCCATGCCAATAAAGACGAGAAGTATTTACATAGCCTGAGAACCAAATCATGTTATTACGATTTTGGAGCTTTGTTTGAATGACTGATGGATGAACTCAAACCTATACCATTGATCGTAGAGAATGTTATTCCTGGAGGTTGGTCTTCGATCGGTGTATTACAAAAAGTCCAAGATATATTTAAATACAATAGTTTGATTTATATGGAATTTGGTATATAGGTTGCCTTAATTGATAAGGGAAAGGTGGACCTGGTACTCATCTGTTCGAAAAATGTATATTTATCACATTTATAAATATTAAAATAATTGTGTAGTAGTAGTTCCGGGAAGTGCAGCTGGAAGCTGAAGGATTGAATCAAGCCCATCAACATCTCATCTTAAAATTCTGTGCGAACGCAGTCGCGGGCAAACACTAATTATTAATATTTCATTATTGGGAAATTTCGCATTTAATTTGATTTTATTCATGACTCTTATTCTTCTACATATTTGTATGCTAAAAAGACTGGTGGTAAAAAACCTGTAATAAAATTGCGAGCAAAGATAGTTTTTGGTGGTTGCAGTGAAATAACAGTATTTCAAGGGTACTCAATGGTGGGAAGAAATCAATAGAAATTCTGTATCCCAAGAAAAGTTCAGGAGATAATAACGAGGAATCGTACAAAATCGTTATGAAATCAGATAGTGCATAAATAATCCAAGATATTCTTTAACTTTTTATCTATTTTATCTAGAAAAGTTGAGGACTGCCCGTACTTATGTTAATTCAAGGCTTAAGGGGGGCTCAACCAGTGTGACATTTTCCAAAAATCTATTTATTTCTCTACATTCTTCGATATCTTATACCTTCGAAAAAACATAATCGTACTTCGTCCCCAAATGCGTAATTGTAATAGTTTCGGAGTAATCCTAATACTCGTGAGATCAGTTGTAAGTTTAGGTGAAAGCGTCTCCCATTGTAACTCAAAAACATCATCCGATCAGTTTTAAACTTTTTTATCGTACTCAGCATCGTTTCAGGCAAAAAGTGACTCTCGGATGTTTCGATTGGCTTAAAATTGTAAATTTGGTATAAAAAATACCGTCAAATTTTTAAGGTAAATTTTAATTTTAGTTTTCAAGAATATGTTTGTATGTATTGTATATAAATTTTTAGTCTCACTTTATAGTTCGTTCAATCCTCTTTAATGCCTTTTTTGTCTTTTTACATTTCAGGTTCCCTGAAGGCAGATGAGATGACAACAAAATGGAAACTTGTTTTTTGGCGGACCTTCATGGGATAACGCATATCTCGTCGAGAATACAAAATTTCTATTTGAAAAAATATGTAAAGTTCCTTTATTTGTATCAAGGGTATACTGTAAAATATTCAATAAAGAAGTTTTCTTAAAAAAAGATCCAAGAATCACTTTTTCATTTTTTTTTCCTGTCACTCCGGTTAACACCTTACGGAGTTAAACTCTCATATTTTTAAGCATTTCTTTGTCATAGACGTGTAGAATAAATGGATACGTAAATATGTCTGTTCTTCGTCCACAGTTACGACTTATATGGTCTCGTTTTATTTCATTTTTTTTGTCACTTTTTTTGTCGCTACTTCAGGTTGAATGAATTCATTTTCCCCGTGGTAATTGAAACTTCTTAACCTTGTACGCGTCTTGGTCAACCACTGTGATCAAAATTGTATGACAGATATAGTAAAATGAGAAATATTTGATCCTGAAGACTTTGCAATTAGTTCCCTAATAATATATTCAGCTGCCGGTTCCAGTTTGTTTTCTTGTTGTTTTCGGTCACTGTTGTAAATTCGATGACTTTTACGTCCATAAGTCCGTAGTTTAACTTCAAATACATTGAAAGGATCTTCCTTCTGAACAATGAAAAGAACGTAGAAGAAACAGGTTTACCAAAATTTTGATACTAAAAAACTTTTTTTTTAAATTTAATAACTATTTGTTGTGATAATTTTTTAGACTTCCCAATCAAAAAAAAAAACTGTACTTTTAGTAAAACAGTAAAAACACCAGCATTATTCACAAAGAATGACGTAAATCAGTATTTCTGCTGAGAAAGCGGTAGATCTGGCAGCACTGCTGAAAAGAGAAAAGGTAACTTAAATTCATTTTCGGTGATAGGCGCTTGCGCCGACTTGTCTATGTCTCGTTTTTGCATTTTCTGCCACAGCAATTATTCACAAAGAGTTTGTTTTGTTTATTTGTTTTCATTTTTTCTTGAGAAAGTTTGTGCTTTTGCCTTTTTGGGATCAATCTGCATTACCTCTTCACTTCCAAAGGATAATACCTTGCCGAATATGCTAGTGGGCTCTCCATTTTTTTAACAAAGTCGTAAAAAAACAAAAAAAAATTGTTGCGGTTGAAAAAATACAAACACAAACTTAATTTTATAATTACATTTACAATAACATTTACTGGCAATATAAATTAATGTATATAACTATTTACACATTTCGAATTTTCTTTCTTATTGTTACTGCAGTTTTAACTGCTTTTTATTTTTTAACTTAGAATTATTCACTGAAAAGCTGTACAAATACAATGTTTAGTAATAATTTGTTATTAAACCTTAAAATATACATATAATATTATGAATTATTTATTTTTCATTATTTTTTATCAATTAATTATTTTCACAACTACTTAGGTCTCTATGCTCTTGCACACAGTTAAACTAAATCTTTTACACTCTCACTCTCTTCGTTCAGCACTCTAATTCCATTCTTGCCCACCTCCTGTGCAGCCATCACCACCACAACGGACTCTTCTGCTATAATATCAACATTCGTTTTATACTCGCTTCGGCGTCGTGTTTGCCGAGACATTTTCGCCGCCATAGCACCGTTTCGCCATTTCTTTCCGCCGCCACCAGCAGCACTGCGAAACGGCACCCACATGACCATTTACTAGAGTACAGTCTCATTAGTGCTGGTGCATGTGCGTGGTCCATTAACGATTGAATATCTGGATGAGGTATCCTTTTTGGTGAGGAAACGTCCAAAAAATATATCTTTAAATGTTTCGCGAAATTGTCGCGACATGCCACAGTAGATGCCAAAATTGATCGGGTAGCTGACGACCAGAAAGAAGTTCGTAAACATTATGGATATGTTGGCTAAGCGATAGTTCAGAAATTCGCCTGCTAGTGAGGAGACAATATGAAGTACCGTTACCACTGCAATGGGTATTTCGACAGCGAGAAATACAGAGACCACCGTAATCAGCATGTAAGTAGTGCAATTGCTGTCGCGCACCTTACGGCTCTCCGTCTTTTGATCATGGAAAAGCGCTTTGCGGCGCTCCTTCGCTTGTTCCATTGCTTGCCAGAGCAAAACATTTAGCGTGACGAGTAGAACGCATGGCACCACATGCACGAAAATCACACGGAAAAGGTAAAAGGTGGCAAAATAGGGGTCTAGGCCCACATACCTTTCTACCCATTCAGACGTCTCCACGTGGCAAACTTCCGTTTCCTCGCCATTCCATACGATTGGGAAGGGATAGTAGGCGCGGTCGAAAAACCTGGTCACCTGATGCAAGAAGGCGATGATAGCAATGTACGCTGTTGACCGTTTCACGCGCGGCATTGTGCACCATGTACGCGCCATGGGTGCGTGACATACGTAAATGTACCTGTGCGAGAAGAGAAGAGAGAGATATAATTAATGGTATATTATTAAGGAATTATAAATCTATATAGCTTATATTAAATCTTATAAATAAATATTTAATTGTCGTTTGCAAAGATCCACTAATCTCACAAGGTGAATATGAAAAACAAATTTCAAGATGTGGACCAGAGACTGACCTTGTCGAAAAGATCTTCTTTGCTGTTCGATTTATTTGAAAATTGGTACAAAGGTACAAGGACTACTAGGAAGGAACTTATTTGACAAAATCATAATGATAGCTATTTTAACTTGAATTTCTTTTATGGAAAGCAAATTGATCTATTTGAAAAAATTTACATTCTCATTGTTTAGTTTGATTTAAATTTTTTAATGATATCCATAGATAGAAATATTCAATGTGATCAAAGGATAAATAATACATTCTTTACGGTAAATAGATCACCGTCGAATTGACAAAAATTTGTGTGACTCGGATATAAGTAGAGATCGTGCGTAGATATCTTTGTTCCCCACGCAATTTTATTATTTTGCGGCTACGGGTTCAACTTGTGTATGAATAAGCCGAGATCCAAAAGCTGTATTTGGCTTACTTCAAGGCATTCATTTTAATATTTTTATGAAAGACTTTGAGCAGCGAATATATGATCTACCTACCACAAGTGTTTTGATACTCTCATCGCTATCCTGACATATTCTTGCGAAGCAACATTACTACCCTGTGGAAGTTGCAGCCGTTCCGCTCTGAAATTGCCACTCCAAGGCATTGGAAGTGGGTAAATCATTACGACAATGCGAACTTGTTGTTTTGGATGAATGTGCAATGACACACTAAAACTCACTTGAGGCTCTTCATCGGTCGTTATAGGATCTTCGTTACAACAATCAACCATTTGGCAATATATTAAAGCTGCTGGCAGAAGATTTTAGAAAAACCACTGCCTGCCATTCGCCTATCAACATCAGTGGACGTGATCAATGCTTGCCTGAAATACTCAACGTTCTGGCCACACGTACAAATCATCTAATCCACCATCTAGCGTATAAATTTGCAAAAATATCCATCCACCGATGTGTTTTGACAGCAGTTATTGCAAATGGGATACGACAGTATGACAATTCGTGTTTTCAGTACGGATTACATTACCCGATAGCTTCTGTAATTTAGTGTCAGCAACATAGGAATTGATTCGAAGGGTATTCCGAAATATCCAAATCAGCTATAGGGATCATGGCTGACCGAGTCATTCTCGCTGCAATAAATCCTAGCAAATCAGTCCTACTATTCAGTGCTACATTGATAGCTGATCCGTCGCACATATAGTAAGTCAACAGACTACGTTGTGGAAGCAAATGAGGTAGTCAAATATTCAACAGAGTTTTTAAATTCTTTGGTCTTATTGGGCGGCCAACCGTACTAGTTAAATTTGAAAATCTGTGTGTTCATTATCCCGCTACGTAGTATTGATTAGCTGAAACTCTGAAACGGCAGAAACAACAATTCTCACCGGACATTTTAATGGTGTAGACGTTCTCATTACACGAAACCCTATCATTCCACCCAACACTCTCGTTCAATTCGAGTGAATATAGTTCCCTGTTCGACCAGCGTTTGCCAATGGTATCAACAAAGTTCAGGGTTAGTATTTGGAATTATGTGGCCTACATTAAATACGGATTACTTTGCTCATGGACAATTGTATGCTGCATGTTCTAGGGCTGGCAAACCAGATAATGTTCTTATTTGATGGCCGATGTCCCACGTATTGTGTAAATAAAACTATGATGAAAAAATATTCATTGTTTCATTTTTAATACATTCATTAAACATGTCCGACAGCGAGGCCTTGCAGGGTACATCCGGGGTGCATCTAGTATGTAGACGATATTAAGAATTAAAATTTTGTCTTTCACAAAGGACTACTCATAAATGAAGTATTTTATATTTAGAATAAAAAAATAATTCATTATTTACTACCTAAACGGAAATTTATTTTCTATCTGTTTAATAAGATGGTTGACTGGACTTGACTAGATTAAAAAACGTGTTCTCTATTTTGGTATAAAAATTAAAGGAATTATTATAACTTGCATGCACATGAGACGGTAATCAACTTTGGTCCATAGTCTGTAAGTACCACAACGGGGAGAGATAGGTCAGCCGAAATGTATACCGATATGATCAGAATCCCCAGTTGACTTGATATAGCCATTTTGGTCTATCCGTCGGTTTGTAGGCAAACTAGATCCTTAGTTTTCGCGTTATCTTAACCAAACTGTGGGCATATATATATATATTTGTCGGAACGACCCCAAGAAGGTGGACCAAAATCTTTCAGTGATAACGTCACTGTAACTCTGGTGAAGCCCAAAATTAACGAAGACCTACGGTTGACACAAGAAATGATTGCTAAAGAATTAGGCTCGAATTCCATGACTGTATGGCGAATATTAAGTAATCATCTGGAATACACGAAGAAATTTTTTAAATCTGTTCGATGGGTTCCACGAATTTTAAATGAGGGCCGAAAAGAAACGAGTACATTTTTCTCAATTTTTCCTAAACAAATTCGAAAATAGCCAGTCTAGTAATTTTAGTATAGTCATTACTTTTGACGAATCTTGGTTCTATAAATACTATCCAGAAATCAAACACCACTCCATGATATGAAGCTCAACAATAGCAAGCCCAACCGTTAAATCTAAGCAACAAAAATCAGAAGTAAAAGTAGTGATGCCAGCTTAGTTCTTCCGATATGAAATCGTAGTTCCAATCCACTTGGAAAAGGGTCAGACGGCAACTGCAAAATGGTAAACCGAAAAGTGCTTACCGAAAAAAATTCAAAAATTTGTTAGAAAACAGGAAGAAAGAGGATTTGGGGCGCTACTTTTTACATCATGACAACGCTGAAATAACAAGAAGTTTTATTGCGATCTCTGGGAACGAACAAATACGTCCAGAACCATAATCCCCAGAATAAACATTTTGTGATTTCTGGTTATTTCCGAAAAGTCAAAAAATTGTGAAAGGAAAGTCTTTAATAGCAGCGAGGAGATTGTTAATGCGGTTAATGCTGAACTTGATAATCTTAAAAGGTAAGATTTTGAAGTCTGTTTTCAAAGGTGGATCTATAGGCTTAAGAAATGCGTTGACATCAATGGGGGTTACGTAGAGAAGATAACAAAAATTACGAATAATTACAAAAAGATTTTTTCTTCTTGTCATACATATATTTCTCTCGTTTAACCTTATACAGTCAGTCACATTTCCTCAATAATAATTCTTTCCAACCCGAGATTAGTTCTCCGTTACTCTTCTGTTCATACACGTAAGAGTCTTCAATATCTTACAGCAAATTTCAGTATTTTTTTTTTTTTTTTTTTTGTTTTTATCGGCCTAACAGTCACAACATACTCATAGCTCACTTGAAGAGTTTGCATGCACTTTCAACACTCATTCACGGATGCTTTGTGCTTTGATGACATTGAAATTCTCTTACGGATTTGACAAGCCAACTTTGTGGTATGTAAAACCTCTTATCATACTTATAAGCTCACTATTATTTATCTATATGCAAATACAATTTCTGGAGTGCGTTTCTCAGAAGGACAGGCCAACAACACAAGAAGCTTATTCATAAACACCCTCAACTGGAATGTCAGGCTTTTTCCTTTTTAAAACAATTTGAAAAGAAGATAGTATAGATGCTTCACTAAAAGAGGAGTATAAAAGGAAAATCGAAAAGTATATAAAGTAAAAGCGATCAGCCAACATGTAGATAATGACATTGACAACTTTTTCCAATGTTCGAGGTCAACATAATTGGCAGTTGGATTTTCTAGTTACGGGTTGTTCATTGTTGTTATTGGGCATTTCATTATTGCTAATATATTGTATATAGAGGACGATTTCATGATAAGCAGTAGGCAATACCAATTCTATGACAACAGTGATGGCCCAAGTGAGTATGGCGGTAGAATTCATAAATGAAATGCCTTTGCTCGCTCGGCAGATGTTGAGTGGAAGCTCCAATGAAAACTTTTGTTATTTTACTTTGTGCATTGAAATTGACATCAATGGCCTTTTCGCATGCTTAAAAAGTTATAACGATTTCTTATGCTAATACAAATTGATTGGTCTCTTGTCATTCTAAATGTTAAGTTGCTGATAATAATAAAGGGACACCAAACTGTGTGATATATGCGTCCGTCCAAAGATCTGTCGTAGAAATGGAATTTCGAGAATTTGTATTTGCATTGTGAGCATTACAAGTGCGTGCCTACATAGAATTCATTTTTGTTATGTAACACAGAGAAATTCTAAAATTAACTTATAAACAGACAGATGTGATGGCGAGATGCAGGGCTATAGATTTCGTTATTGCTTCTATATCTTTTAAGATATCTGCCTGTGCTTACCTCAACAACCGTGGAGCGGTATAAGATCTACAAGTATATAGATATATACATATATAATTGGCACTTTGTAGTGACTTTCCGCTGAGCTCCTCCTACAATTTGTGGTACAAACCGTGTCCAACGGCGACGGTTGGAAATACCATGTGAAGCCAGGACACTCTCCACCTGATACTTCCAACGGAGTTGAGGTCTTCCTCTTCCTCTGCTTCCTTCGGCGGGTACTGCATCGAATACTTTCACAGCTGGAGTGCTTTCATCCATTCGGACGACATGATCTAGCCAGCGTAGCCGCTGTCTCTTCATTCACTAAACTATATCAATATCATCGTTCAGCACGTACAGCTCATCGTTGGATCATCTGCAGTATTCGCCATTGTCAATGCGCACAGGACCATAAATCTTTCGCAAAACTTTTCTCTCGAAGACTTCTAGATCCGACTAATCAGATGTTGACATCGTCCACGCTTCTGCACCATATAGTATAGTAGGGTACGATGACCGACTTGTAGAGTTTGGTTTTCATTTGCCGAGAGAGGCCTAATTTTTCAATTGCCTACTCAGTCGAAAGTAGCACCTGTTGGCAAG